ATCCATCCTGTAACCTACCAATCCACTCTTAGCTACCCCAATAAAGTAAAAATCATAGATACACAAAGGCTGTGTAGAAGAGTGTCCTTAGCAACTTCATTCCTGATCATTTCAAACTGGAAACAACTCACATGTCCATATAGAAGAAGACAGAAAAACAAATTATGGCATATTTAAACAAAGGAATACTATCCAACAATGAAATAGCATATTATTAACATCTCAAGGACATGGTAAGGAGAAGAAGCCAAATAAACAGGTCATATGCTTCATATAAATGAAGCGCTCAAGAGGCAGCAGCTGTGTGTAGTTGTTGCCTTTGGGCTGGGAGGGGGCAGGAGGAAAGGTGTGCTGAGCATGCTTATCTCAGCTAAAGCTAGGTAAGCATGAGCTTATCAAGCTAGAGCTTGTCAAGTAAAACAAGATCTGTGCATTTTGTGTAAAGCATACTTCAGTAACTAAAAAATGTATTGAATGGGCTACCCAACATTCTAGAAAAATAAAGGGACCTATGAAAGTATGATTAGAAATAACTATGAACATATTTCATTTTAAAAAAACCTTCCTGAGGAGTATAGTGTGAAATAGTAACAGTACAATAATATATATTTTTGTAATGCTTGGAATACCTTTAAAATTAAAGATGGCAGTCTAGTTTCTTTAAAATTATGGAAGATGGACCAGCAAGGTGACTCAGCAGACAAGGATCATAAATAAGGCTTATAAATTAAGTCCCATGTCTGGAATCTTCATGGTGGAAGGAGGAATATAATCTTGAAAGTTATGCACACATAAACTAAATAAATAAATGTAGAAATAAGTTCCAGGAGACTACATGGTAGTGGCTATCACTCAGCCCAGGATGCACTTGAGAAGCTGAAACAAGGAGGATTTCTGTGAGTAGGAAGTGGCCTAAGCTAGGAGCTGAGTTCCAACGTGGCCTGTGCTACAGATAGAGATCCTGCATCACAAACAAAATAAACAAACCAATAAATAAATACACCTTCTTCAGCCAAAGTTTTGTTTTTCTTTAAAACTTTTACTGCTACATTATACATAATTAAATTAATAGATCTTAAGTTCTTAAGTACACATTTAGTGTTTTTTACAGTGTATCAAAGACTTGTGTATTGGTCATACACACACACACACAGAGAGAGAGAGAGAGAGAGAGAGAGAGAGAGAGAGAGAGAGTCTGTGTAGCCCTGGCTGTTCTGGAACTCACTGTATTGGCCACACTACAACTAGAGATCCACCTACCTCTGCTCAGCACTTCCCTTTGTGTGCACATGTGTTCATATTTTTCCCCTGATATCCTATAGGATTACTAGATAAGTACAAAGTGCTTTTGTTCCCTGTAGCTACTGTAAAAGCAACAACAAATCCCAGTGTCTCTAGCAACATTGCCAGTAGTAATTATGGCAGCGGAGAAATGATAGATCCAAAATGAAAATCACAATCGGTCTTCAGAGTTTCCTAATATAAATTTCATACTTGTAGTATGCCATAATTATAACATAGATGGGACATTCCAATAACCTTACCAACCAGAGTAAGCTTAACAATAATCCAATAGGCATAGTGACACATACATGTAATCTCAGCACTGACAAGGCTGAGGCATGAAAATCCTGAGTTCAAGACCAACCTGGGTTATTAGCAAGATCCTGTTTTAAAAAGAAAAAGAGACAAAAGACTGATCTTCCTCCAGCTGCCTTTTCTGTTTATCTGGATAACCTGGATAATCTGGATATTATCGTGGATAACAGGATAGTACCTGTTTTAAGTATTCTAGTGATAGCAGTTAAGAGTTCATAATAGTAAGTTTATATCCCATATGTCACTGTAAAAGAACCCTTAGTTAGTACTTTCCAGACTGTTTATAACAGGTACAAAATCAATAAAATGCAAGCACCTTTTTGGTTGACCGTGCTTTAAACAAGGTGACAGAAAGAGCTGCAATTCATGAAGGATATCAAAGGCAAATGCCGCATCTATTTGAAATTATAGAGAGAACATTGATTTTTGTTTTCAGCAGAAAGATCTATGCTCGAATTTTGCTTAAGATAAAAGGTTTGACCTCTTAACAAAAAGTACAGTAGTAGTGATTGGGCTGATAATAAACTAAATCTTAGGTCACTCTTTGTTTAGTAGTAGTGTTAAATATTTCTAAGGTGTCAGTAAATATTCGAAGTAGACATAAATTATAGAAGTGGGCTAGTGTCTACCACATTTTGTTTGCATCCTGAATCCTTTGCCTTTTCTAGCTGACTCTAATCCTCTCACCTTTTCTTTGGTTTGTTTTTTTTTCTTTTCCCTAAAAGGATCAATAAATGGCACTTTTCCTTGCTGACCTCTTAATTAGTAACCCAGTCTCTCTTAATCTCTTCCCATTATTGGAGGTAATGTGTAAGTTCCTCGGAGCTTGGAGAACAGAATGGAGTTCTTAGGATACTAAGATTGCTTGCTCTGAGTCTTCATAGATTAAAAGTTAGAGGAAAAGAAGCCCTTGGAGAAATTTGTGCACACAATAATGCAGTAAGCTAGGGTGCACGACTGCTGAAGGGTGCTTTGGTGAGACAGTAGGCAAAGGCAGGGTCTCCGTTTTCTCTCTGTGTGTGATAGTTCTAGATAAAACATTTTCTTTTTAAGCAACAGAAGTGACTGAGAAGAAGGTAGAGGAGAGGAGGGAATTCTTGGTATTTACACACACACACAGAGAGAGAGAGAGAGAGAGAGAGAGAGAGAGAGAGAGAGAGAGAGAGAGAGAGAGAGAGAGAGAGAGAGAGATTGATTTCCTGAAAGTCGAGAAGAAATATATTATATACAGTTGCAATGTTTAGACATTTGGCAATTGGATAAAATAATTTTTGGTGAAAATAGGGAAACAGATGGACATAAACGTACAATAGGGTAGTAACTTTCATTTCTTGTACATACACAGTGAAATCATTGTAGGCAATAAATTCTCGGAGAAGTTGAGTAGGGCTTGGGTAAATGTCATAGTTTATGACTGAATACATATAAACAGGTGAAAACTCAATATGGAGAGGTAGTGGTAACTACCTGATAAAGAGACTAAGAATCCTTTTCATCCCACAGGAAGGATTGCATTAGAGACATAACGGTACAATAGTTGGATTTATAAAGGTATTTTTAAAAGATTCTGCTTACAATTTTGGCAACTGCAGATATATAAAATAAATGCCTTTGTTCCCCCCAAACAATGTTAACTATAAAAAATTTTGACCTATAGTTTCTAGAACAAATACCAAGGTTACTTTTAAAGGTGACACTGTTGTAGGTGTATTAAAGAACACTTGACTGTAGAGATTTATGGACTTGTTTGAAGACACTGTCCAAGCTAAAATTGTTCCAAGCCTTGAGACCTTTTCTTTATGCTCTGAGTTCAGCTTGTGTACTCAACAGTCTTGATTTCAGATTCTTGCACCTGTCTTAATTTTTTCTGAAACAGGGTTTTGTGTTTCTCAAGATGGCCTCATCTGCACAGTGTAGCTAAGGGTGTCCTTGAATTTACGATCCTTTTGCTTCCACCTCCTGATTGCTGAGATTTATAGGCATTGACCATCATGCCCAGATTATTCTTCTTAAGGATTGGAACCTGGGCTCTGTGCATGCCAGGCAAACACTCTGCCAACTGAGCTACACCTCCAACTCCCTTTCATGCCTTTTCCATTCTCCTATTTCAGCCCCATCCTCCCCGCTCTTAAGAATCTTTCTATAAGAGGTTACTGCAGTCCACTTTGATAGCTCCTTCTCTTCTGAATTTCTCACAGATATATTAACTTAAAAGCTCATCTCATGCTTGTTTAACTTTTGGATGGCAGTCTTTGAGGCCATAGAAATTTATCTTCTTCTTTTAAAATCGAGAGAGAGGAGAGGTGAGGAGGGAGAATGAGAATGAATTGGGTGCATGTATGCCAGGTCACATGTATGGAAGTCAGAGAGAATGTGGGTGTGCACAAGTTCTGATACATGTGTAGAAGTCAGAGGACAACCTTAGGTGTTAGTCTTCACCTTCTGCCTTGTTTGAGACTGATTCTCTTGTTCATCACTGTGTTTCCCAGGCTACCTGACAAGATTCTGTCTTCCAGGGATTCTTTATCTCTGCCTCCCATCTTGCTGTAGAAGAACTAGGACTGCAGACATCTGCTGCCATGTCTGGCTTTCTGTAGACTGTGAGAATCTGATCTTAGGTCCTCATGCTTACTGAATTCTCATTTCTCCATCTACCAACTTGTCATAGGAGGGCTGGGATTACAGATGGGTTTTATTTCATCTGGCTTTCTAGGGATTATTGAAATGTGAGCTCAAGTCCTTGTGCTGAGTTATCTCCTTAGCCCCTCATTATGTTTCCTTATACATATTAGTTGAGTGATCAATAAGCATAGTGGAAAACAAGGCTTAGAGGAATTGAGGAGCAAACAATTAAAATAGTGATAATGGATATTAGAGAAAGTTGTGTAGTTCCAGCCAAATGTTTGAGAGGGTGTGAAGGGTAGGCCCAGTTGTTGGCACACTGACACAAAAGTGGGTGAGGAGAGCAATGAGCTTACTTAGACCTTCTCGGTCTTAGCACTAAGTACCTCTGAGAGTTTTCCTTTGAGAGTTTTCCTGGTCCAGCTCCCTAATCACACTTGACATTACGTATTGCATATAGCAGTGAGAATGTGCTGGCCAGACGCCTCGTCTGTAAAACTGTTGAGACATATATCAGAAGTTAGCAATGTTTCATGTTGATGTAGCAAATAATCTTAATAATGTCAGTGTATCAAACTGGGATTATCGTAGACATCTGAAGTAGCTACTTCATTTGAGAGGAATACTGGTCACTTTGAAAATGATAAATGTATTCAAAATTTTAAAGAAAGAGCAAGAAAAATAGTATTAATTTAAGTTTTCTTGAGTTACTTAAGGTATTTTCAAAGATCTGTAACTAAATGTAAGTACTTCTCTTCCAAATTATTATTTATTTCTAGCCATTTAGACCTTCAAAAATCGTGAGGAGGAAAAGTATTACAGCTTATTCGCCAACTACTGGAACTTATCAATTGAGCCCATTTTCTTCTCCCACAACCCCCAAAGAACAAGAGCACAGAAACAGACCATCAAATGGTTAGTTGAGCATTCTTTTCCACTTATGATAAGATTTTTCTAGTTATTGGTTAAATCAAGATTTTGATTTAGTAATATATAGCTCTTGTTGCAGCTGGGTTTTCTCTCTTCTCAAGGAATTTAACATAGAAAAGGCTAGAATGTAGATGTTACTTTGGACATAAATGTAAACTTTGTAGGCACTTATTTTAAAATGCCACTGCTGTTCCCTTACTATCCCATCCATTAAATAGAAATTATGGCCTGACTGCCTTCAGCTACTATCAATTATAATGGTTACAGATATGCCCTTAACAAGCTATCCATCATATGCATAAATTAACGGGCATATAACTCAGATATTGCCACACTGCAGTTTAAGAGGGATACTTCTAAATGTTATTCTATCCATATTGTCCATTTAGCTTTACCCACATTTAATATAGAGTTTATTTAGTTTATCTTTATTGTGTTCATGCCCTTCTTATTTTAAATGTATTTTTAAAAAAGCCTCCAAAAATTTTCCATATAGGATAACCTACCTAAATAACCTAATTTTTATATAAAAATAGTATTCATTTAATTCTGACATGCATTTTTGTTGCTCTCTAGTAGTTTATTGCTAAGATCTATATTTAAAGGTACAGGTCTCAATTTCATATGCTTAATTTTTTTATATTGTAAGAAGTCATGAATTAGTGACATGTCATTCTCTGTAATATAAAATTTTAAATAGGCTCAAATTTAGTAAAATGTATTTTAGATATGCTGTGACTAACCTAATTCATATTTTATTGTTTAACATTTATTAGATATTAAGCACATGCTAGACTCTATACAGAGATTGGTCTCATTTTACTTAATTTGTTTAATGAAATACATTATTAAATATATTAAGTTTTTTAGTCTCTTTGATTTTAATTTAACCAAAAGCTTTTACCCTAAAGCTATTGATATTGTGTTTGTTTTAACAAAATTTATGAAAGTCTATACATTTCTCTCAAGTTCTATAGTTTTTATATAGCAGATATATCTTCTTAATTAAAAAATAATAGCTTAGAGATTGCATATCTCTATGAAAATCTCAATAGATTTTAAGTTGATATATACTCAATTTCCATATTGAAATTAAATATGGACTTAAGGGAACATTTCTTTTGCCCATAAAAAGATTGGTCACATGATTTCACTTGACATTTATATGGGTAATTATCACATTATCGGTACTAGGTATGCTCTTTTTTAAAAAGTCAAACTGCAAGGATTTCTGAGGTGCAGGCAGTATCTAGTTCTTGACTTATGTGGTGACTACTGATTCACTCTAGTTATTAATTAAAGTGACATATGTTTCAATTTATTCTGATAGCTGTATATGTACACACACATACACACATACACACATACACACATACACACATCACATCTAGCAGCCTCAAAGCAGAAATTTGTTAAGGTCCTAATGAAATCACATTATTTGTAATCATACTCCAATCCCAATAAGTCTTCCGAATGGTTTAGAAATAAGAAACCCTAATTATTATCAGATATTATAAGTTCCAAATTAGAAAATGTAACTTACAAAGTAATTTAAAATTCAGATGAGATCATGACCTCCTTTATTTTTCCCGCTTTTAAAATATTGTTCAAAATGTAATAGGAAATTTTAATAACATTTAAAAGACATTTCTACTTGCTTCTTAATATACTTTATATTAAATCCCAAACCCATTTACTTAGACTTTGCATGTTCAAATCTTACAGCTCGAATGTGGAGGTCAGAGGGCAATTTCTACACATAAACTCTTGCCTTCCATCTTATTTCACTTGTTTCTGCTGCTGGGCCATGTTCTCTAAGCTGGCTGGCATGTGAGCTTCAAAGCGATTCTCTTGTCTCTGCCTCCCATCTTTGGTAGGGGTTCTGGGGTTACGGATGTGCACCACCACACTTGACCTTTTATATATGTATTCCTGGGACTGAACTCAAGATTGTCAGGGTTGTGTGACAAGCACTTTTACCCACTGAATCACCTTTTCAACCCTGCAGACCCTTATTGGGATTTTAAAACCATTCATTAAGTACATACCCATTTTTCTTCCCATGTTTTAGCAGCTCTTGTCTTCCTTCCATACTTCATCTTGCAGTGCCCTGGCTGACTTTGATGTTTGGTCCTTCTGCCTCCACCTTAAGAGTACTAGGATCGTGGGCATGTGCCACCATCCCCAGCTCAAGTTAATTATTTCATGTAACTTGTTTAAAACAGTAGCCAGCCCTAATAAGGGCTGTATGTTAAACATTGTCGTTATCATCATTAATTGTGCTTTCAAGCCTTATCTAACTGAAAGCTTTTTTTCAATAGTTAAGAAAAAGTTTACCTGAATCCCTACCAGAAACTTCAAATACAATTCTGAATGTAGTCCAGATTCAGTGATGACACATGTATAATCAGTGTTTTGTAAAGCTGTTCTTAAAAAGAGTCAAGAACACAAATGTTAAAACATGTATGTAACCTAGAAAGAAAAATAATGATATGACTCCTTAACCCTTTGTGTATATTGGGGTGGGTGTTGTTATTGTTGTTTGGTTTGTTTATTTGGTTTGACTTGGTTTGGTTTGGTTGTTTGGTTTGGTTTGGTTTGGTTTGGTTTGGTTTGGTTTGGTGGTTTGGTTTGGTTTGGTTTGGTTTGGTTTTTCAGGACAGGATCTTTCTGTGTAGACCTGTTGTCCTGGAGCTCACTCTGTAGACTAGGTTGGCCGTGACCTCAGTGATCTGCTTGCCCCTTGCCTCCCAATTGCTGAGATTAAAGGTGTGTGCCACCAAGCAAGGAATAATATTGTGTTCACTTTTTAAGAAGAATATAGTGAAGAAAGAACTATTAACTGAAAATGTTATTTTGGATGATATTTATAAAATCCTATTTAGCAATTGAAAAGTACTTGAAGACCTAAGAAAACTAAGAATTTTATTGATCCACATATTATTTGGCAGCAATAAAAATATTTAGAAAGGCATTGAACAGCTGGGCGGTGGTGGCGCACGCCTTTAATCCCAGCACTTGGGAGGCAGAGGCAGGCGGATTTCTGAGTTCGAGAGTTCGAGGCTAGCCTGGTCTACAGAGTGAGTTCCAGGACAGCCAGGGCTACACAGAGAAACTCTGTCTCGAAAAAAAAAAGAAAGAAAGAAAGAAAGAAAGAAAGGAAGAAAGAAAGAAAGAAAGGAAGAAAGAAAGAAAGAAAGAAAGAAAGAAAAGAAAGGCATTGAACACCTAATAAAAATTCTACGAAAATAATACAGGCTGACACTGGCTTCTGGGGCTAAAATGTGGAAATGAACTACAAGTTGAGGAAGCAATCTTAATATTTGATTTGGAGCTTTACTGCATATAGATACCATAGTATCAAATTCAGGAAATTAACTTTTGGTTAGGATTTTTTTTTAAATAAAGGAAATGGAAAAACGAAATCGGGTACTTTTTCCTTTCCTACCTCCTTTTGTTTCTCCCCTTACTCCTGATTCAGCATTTAGCAATCTAGTTCATCTCTTTGTTCTTGGCTTGGTTTTTCTATGCTGTGTCAGGCCATGCATGTCTGACTAGCCTCAATCCTTCCCACTCTGTCTTTCAAGTGCTGGAATTACAGGGAGCAAAAATTTGGCAAGTCAGTCGATTAAAATTTGGCGAATTGTCTCCTTAACTTTGTGTTCTTTTCCCATACAGGAACAAGAAAGCCGAGTAACTTGAGCTCATCTGCAAGACAGGAGTCCACAGTGAAAGGCAGTGATGGGTGAGTTTGCTTTCAAAACCACTGTCACTGACAACTTAAGAAAAGTCATTTGTCTTTGTAAATTAACAGTTTATAAGTGGGCTGAGTTACTCTATCTATACATTTATTTATATGATTTTCTTTTTTTAACACTGTCATTAAGAAAAGCATTTGTGGTGTCTTGCAGTGCTCATGTGGTGGAAATATAGAATGCTTTAATTTTAATTCATCGAGCCTAGGTCTGGTCTGGTGTGTGATACACCAATTTAGGGTCAAGCTAAGGAAACCTCCATTTCAGAGTCACACAGAGAAGAATCATAAAGTCCTAAGCATGAGGAGGTAAGGCAGTAGTGCGCAGGCTCTAAGGAGCCCCAGTGATGAACCAACACCAGCCATATTCACACTGACCTACCACTGATGCCTGTGAAGTAAGTCATAGGGATAATATTTATATATTTATATATCTCACACCGAAGTGATTGAAGGTGGCTCATAAGTTTATCTCATGTACCAAGTGATTTCTGTGTGTCATATTCTGTGATGAACAAAATGAAGTTTTAACCACTTAGAGCTCATGGTCTTCTGTTGTAAGTTAACATATCCTCCTCAACTTAGTTGAAATTAGTTGTGTTTAAAAAATGTTTTCAGAATCATTTATATGGAGCTGAGATGCATTTTCCATGTAATAGTGTTAGAATCTGTAGTTTAGAACTTAAGATCAGATGTCTTTTATTTCATAATGTAAGTCACTAGTATTAGTTACTGAATGCTGTGTAAAACACTGTAGTAAAGGTAAGTCCTCTGGGAAGCCTTGCCTAGGGTCTCTTACAGCACTTTATTACTTACTTTAGGACTTCCTTTCCCTAATAACAAAGTCTATCCCCCAACACCAAATATGGTCAAATACTATATTTGCAAAGCACTGCTCTTTAAAATGTTTTATTACATTTATCTATTGAGTGTGGTGTGTGTGTGTGTGTGTGTGTGTCTTGTGAGTCTGTGTGTCCAGGACTCAGTTCTCTCCTTCCACCATGAGGGTCTTAGGGACTGAACAGGGATCTAAGCCATCAGACTGTTGGCAGGCACCTTTATCCACTGAGCCATGCTACCAACCCTGCAAGGTGTTTTTACTCTCTTTTTCCTTCTCTCTCTTTTTTTTTAAATAACATTTTTAAAAGGTTTGTTCATTTTTATTTTATGTATATAAGTGTTCTGTCTTCGTGTGTAGAAGGTCACTTGGAGAGTAGATGCCAGCAGGGGCCTCCAGATACTCTGGAACTGAGGTCATGGATGTGCGCAGCCATGTGGGTGCTGAGAACTTAACCTGAGTCCTCTGCAGTACTAGCAATGCTCTTAACCACTGAGCTATCTCTCCAGCCCCACACGTCCTCTAATTAAGAATCCTAGTTCCTTAATGAAGCTGATCTTTACTAGGTGTTAAATATTTAACCATGAAAATAGGCAACATATGTAAATAGCAAAGATCTGAAATTATGTAGGAGGATGTGCAGTAAAAGCAAGCAGCATGTAACGATTCTAGATCACTGATAGCAGTGTATTTGAAAGTAGATGGGTGCTAAGCCCAGTGGATCTCAGATACAAATGTAAAATGAAGCAGAGTTAGAAGAAACAGTACACAGTGGGAGAGGAAAGGGTTGACAAAGGTGATAGCATATAAGCAAGCCCAACCGTAGATAACTGCCCCAAGCTGGCTTCAACTGCCTTCGTTTCCTGTACTTCACTCCTTACCTTTCTTCTGAGGTCATTACATTCTTTTTTTTTCTTTTCATTTATTGGATATTTTATTTATTTACATTTTAGATGTTATCCCCTTTCCCCCTCAGAAACTCCCCTCCTTCTGCTTCTATGAGGGTGTGCCCCCATCCACCCACCTACTCCCACCTCCCCGTCCTTGAATTCCCCCACACTGGGGTGTCCAGCCTTCACATGACCAAGGACCTCCTCTCCCACCAATGCCCAACAAGCCCATCCTCTCCTACATATACAGCTGGAGCCATGGGTCCCTCTCTATGTGCTCCCAGGCTGGTGGTTTAGACCCTGGGAGCTCTGGTTGGTCGCTACTGTTACTCTCTCCATGGGGCTGCAAACCCTTTCAGCTCCTTCAGTCTTCTCTCTAACTCCTCCATTGGGAACCCTGTGATCAGATCAATGGTTAGCTGTAAGCATCCACCACTGTATTTGTCAGGCTCTGGCAGACCTCTAAGGAGACAGCTATATCAGGCTCCTGTCAGCATGCACTTCCTGGTATCCACATCAGCGTCTACCTTTGGTGACTGCACATTGGATAGATACCCAGGTGGGGCAGTCTCCGGACAGCCCAGCCTTCAGTTTCTGTTCCACACTTTGTCTCTATACTTGTTCCCATGAGTATTTTGTTACTCCTTCTAAGAAGGATCGAAGCACCGACACCTTGGTCTTCCTTCTTCATGAGCTTCATGTGGTCTACGAGTTGTATCTTGGGTATTGCAAGCTTTTGGGCTAATATCCACTTACCAATAAGTGCATACCATGTGTGTTCTTTTGTGATTGGGTTACCTCACTCAGGATGATATTTTCTAGTTCAATCCATTTACCTAAGAATTTCTCAAATTCATTGTTTTTAATAGCTGAGTAATACTCCATTGTGTAAATATACCACATTTTCTGTATCCATTCCTCTGTTGAAGGACATCTGGGTTCTTTCCAGCTTCTGGCTATTGTAAATAACCAGCTGCTATGAACATAGTGGAGCATGTGTCCTTGTTATATGTTGGAGCATCTTTGGGGTATATGCCCAGGAGTGGTATAGCTGTGTCTTCAGGTAATACTATGTCCAATTTTCTGAGCAACTGCCAGACTGATTTCCAGAGTGGTTGTACCTACCAGCTTGCAATCCCACCAACAATGGAGGAGTGTTCCTCTTTCTCCACATCTTTGCCAACATCTGCTATCACCTGAGTTTTTGATCTTAGCCATTTTGACAGGTGTGAAGTGAAATCTCACTGCTGCCTATTTGATGTCAGCCTGGTCTTCAAAGCCATTTCCAAGATAACGAAAGTTACATTTTGGTACCCTTTCTCAAAAATAAAAACTCTTATTCCCCAAAAAAGCTTGTTATGTTAAGAAAGCATGATTTAAACCAATGGTTCTCAACCTTCCGAATGCTGTGACCCTTTAATACAGTTCCTCATGCTGTGGTGATCCCCATAAAATTATTTTCATTGCTATTCTATAACTCCAAGTTCACTGCTGTGATGAATTGTAATGTAAATATCTAATATGTGATCTCCCCAAAGGAGTTATAACCCACAAGTTGAGAATCACTGATTTAAACTTATAAAAACTTCAATAAAGTTTATTTTCTTCACACTAAACTATGCAAGCCATTATTTTTAAGCTTCACAGTCTGAGACCATGGTAAGTGAACTTTGGAATATTAACTCAAGAAGGCATGTATAGAGAGAAAAAAGACATCTATCCCAGCTCACTCATAGGTGGGGATGAAAGAGAAGTGAGAGCAAGGTCTTTGGAGGATGGTTGATAACGTATATTGTGTCTATCTAAGAATGGCAAAATGACAGGGGAGCACTGACATACGTGGCCCCTTTAACATGGAAAGAAAGTGCTAGGGAGCAGAATCTGTCTCTTGGAATAGAAGCACAGCTCTGTGACCTGAGACACTCACAGTCTTATTCTTGGTAATTATATTTGTTTTTCACTCCTAGATTCATGATATTGCTATCTAAAATTGAGAGATCATCAGAGAAAACCATGGAGATAATGAAAAATTTAAGTAGTATACAGGTTTGCACTTTTTCTTACATATAATTTTCATACCCCCACTATCTGTTTTGAAAAAGGAAAGAAAGAGCCTATATTTAAGAATCCACTCCAGTCAAGAGTTTGCAGGGTATATATTTAATTTATTTCTCACGGGAAGCTCCTTAGTTATAATATGTAATGATTAACGATAATATTTTAGTTCTAGCTGACTTTTCACATTAAAAAGTAATTTTGTAGATTATGAGATTATGTTAGAGGGTTTTTTTGTTTTGTTGTTGTTGGTGGTGGTGGTTGGTTGAGACAGGGTCTCACTATGTAGCTCCGGCTGTTCTAGAAGTCACTATGTAGATCTGCCTTGCCTTGAACACAGAAATCTGCCTGCTTCTGCCTCCCAAGTGCTAGAATTAAAGATGTGAGCCACCATGTACACCATATTTACCTGCTCATAACTGAGCATGGTGATGTACTCCCTGAATTCCAGCATTTAAAAGGCAGAGGGTGGCAGAGCTTTGGAGTGTGAGGCCAGCCTCTTCTACATAGAGACATTCTATCTCAAACCTTTACCATCCCCACAACCCCACAAAAAAAAAAAAACAAAATTAGTATTATAGTCATTATAGGGCTTGTAATACTTGACTTACCAGGGAAACTCAAAATTCCTAGTTCAAGATCTTCTAAATGAAGAAGACAGTCTATTATATTTCCTTTGTAAATAATCTCTTAGTTGTAGAGAACTTATTTAACTCATTAAAATAGTTTTCTTTCAGGCTTTGGAGGGCAACAGAAAACTTGAAGATCTCATTGGTGTTTCCCTAGCACCATGCTCCTTAAAAAGAGAAGTGAGGAAGACGAGAGAACTACGTAAGAAAAATTAATGTGTTTTTAAAGTTTCTTTTAATTTATGTATTTTATGTATATGGGTGTTTTGTCTGCCTACTCAAAGAGGGCATCGGGTTCCATTATAGACGGTTGTAACCTACCATGTGAGTGCTGGGAATTGAACTCAGGGCCTTGGGAAGAGCAGCCAATGCTCTTAACTGCTGAGACATTTCTTCCAACACCTGGATTTTTAATGTTAGTAATTTTAGAGAGAAACCTTTCGATGTTTCTCAAGGTTCAGTTTGATAGGTCACACATATCTTAAAGCTGTCCACATAGAAGTACTGTTAGCATCTTTAGATGACATGTGTTCTTTAACAGGATGTGTTGCTTTATGGCTTCCTCTTGAATTCAGAAGACAAGATTGCTCAGGAGAGACTGCTAGCAGGCTTCCTTTATACTAAGCTCATTTTTAAAGTGAGATAGTAAGAGGGCACTTACTTACATTGTGCTTGATACCTATAGGATGTATTGCTTTGATTACTCTTTTTTCTACAGAGTTGCCTTTTCCAAACAATGAGAAATTATTAATTCATATTCGGTGTCTGTGTGTTCATAGCCAGACTGTACTGGAATTCACTGTGTCCCCCAGGCTGTTCTTGAAGTCACAGCAATGCTCTCTTTTCAGCCTCCTGAATGTTGGGATTACAGGTGTGCACCAACCATGCCCAAGTATTTTATGTAAAGTCTTAAAAAAAAGATTGTGTGTATTTGTGTTTGAGATCATACATTCAAGTGTGCACACCAGTGTGCAGGCACGGAGTGTCTTATGACTGCCTGATCCTGTGAATCAGTATTTCTTCTTGAGCCTGGAACTTACATTTTCTCATCTAAGCAGGACTCTAGCACGTCTTAGGGATCTTCCTGTCATCAGCCTACTTAAGTCTGGGATTCCAGTCATGCACAAGATTTCCAGCTTAGTAAATGAGTACAGAGACCCAAATTCTAACTCTCACAATTGCTTAGCATGCTATCTTAAGCACTGTGCCATCTCTACAGCCCCTTATGTTACTTTGTAATATGAGGGTATTTTTTTCTCTTTTAGTGACAAAAGTAATAAAACAAAAGCTGTTTGAAAAGAAAAATTCAAGAATTCCTCCCAAAGGTAGGATTGTAGTGTTTTAGTTTATTACATAAAAACTGTTTTCTTAGGCTGGAAAGATGGCTCATCAGCTGAAAGCATTTGCCACTTCTGCAGAGGATCTGGTTTTGGTTCTTTACAACCCATGTGGGGGCTTACAACCTGTAATTCCTGGAGATTCCATGCCTTCTTCTTCCCTACACAGGCACCAGGCACACATGGTCTTCAGACTTACATGTAGGCAAAACCTCATGCACATAAAATAAAATAAAATAAAATAAAATAAAATAAAATAAAATAAATGTGTTTTAGAAAAGGAGAAGTGCAAAAAAAGAGGAGTAGTTTCATAATCATCTCATGAACTAAGATCTTGTGTGTGTGTGTATGTAGAGATTTATCCATCTTTTAATTTTTCCAATTTATAGAAATGTAAGTATTTAAGGTATATCCTATTGACTTTCTGAATTCCATCAGTGTTTCTTATACTGGTGGCCCTAATCTACACCATTATGTTATCTATTTGATCTAATTTTTTAAAGTAGTTATAAATTCTCTTAATAGAACTGTTTTCATAGGGCTTTTTTGTATGTGCTTTTAATTTCATCCAATTCTTGGAATTTTTTAATTTCCTTTTTGATTCCTTCAGTGATCCGCTCATCACTCAGCAGTGTGTCATCCAGTCTGTGTGTTTGTATAGGTTCTATAGTTTTCGCCTTATCCCACTGTGGTCAGATAACATACAAGAAATTATCTCAGCTTGCTTTTGTTATTGTTGTTATTGTTTCAACTTGCTTTGTATTGTAGTATATAATCTATTTTTAGAGAAAGTTCTATCTTATATTGTGAAGAATGTGTATTATTCATTGTTTGGTTGGAATCTTCTGAAGTGTCTGCTAGGTTCATCTGTGATCTCATTTAACTCACAAATTTTTCTTGTTTATTTTTTTTATCAGGGTGCTGATGAAAGTAGGTTGTTGATGTTGTCCAGTGTGGTGGCTTGAATAGGAATGGCACCCATAGCCTCAGATATCTGAATGCTTGGTCATTAGTGAGTGGCAGTACTTGACAGGGATTAGGAGGTGTGGCCTTGTTGGAGGAATCACTGGGCTTTGAGGTTTTAGAAGCCCAGGCTGGGCCCAGTGGCTCTTTTTCTTCCTGCTGCCTGCTGATCCTGATGTGGAACTCTCAGATACGTCTCTAGCATCATATCTGCCAACATATACCATGATGGTATTGAACTAAACCTCTGAAACTCTAAGCCAGTCCCAATTAAATGCTTTCTTGCTGTGGCCATGGTGTCTCTTCACAGAAACAGAATATTGACTAAGACACCCACTATTAATGTAGTGGGATTCATCTGATCTCCACATGGAGTAGTATTTCATTTGTGAAATAAGTCCACACATGACCAGTGCACATGAGCTCAAAATGGCAATGTCCTCTTGGTGGATTGTTGCTTTAATCAGTATAATCTTCCTTCTCTCTTCTAATTTTGCTTTGAAGTCAGTGTGTCAGATATTAGAACAATATCTACTTATTTCCTAGTTTCATTTCTCCAAATATGTTTTTGTATTCTTTCACTTTAAAGTCATATCTGGCCCTTTTCTTTTGTCTTGTTTTGTCCATGTGTGATATGCATGCATGTGTGTATTCATTCACACAAACATATGTATACACGTGAGTGGTTTGACGTTGGCTGTCCTCCTTGATTGCTTTCCACCTAACATATATGGCAGGTCTCTTACTTGAAACCAGAGCTTGCCGGTTTGGCTAACCTAGCTAGGCAATTTTCTCTTGGGGTCTCTGTCTGTGTCTTCTGTACACAGGTGTTACAGGCGAGCCACCATACCCTCTTGGCATTTACATGAGTACTGGGAATCCAAACTCTGGTCTTCATGTTTGCACAGCAAGTGCTTTGTCCATTAAGCCTAAATATTAATCTTTGATAGTCAAGTGTATTCTTAGAGACAACAAACATATGGGTCCTGCTTTGTTATTCAACCTGCTAGTCTGTGTCTTTTGATTAAGGCATTGAAACCATTACTATTCAGAATTATTACTAAAAGGCATTTCAGGTGAGCCACCACATGCTCTTGGCATTTACGTGGGTATTAGGGATTGTATTTTATTTATTTATTTTTATATATATGAGAAGTACACTGTAGCTCTCTTCAGACACACCAGAAGAGGGCATCAGATCCCATTACAGATGGTTGTGAGCCACCATGTGGTTTCTGGGAATTGAACTCAGGACCTCTGGAATAGTCAGTGCTCTTAACCACTGAGCCATCTCTCCAGCCCCCAAACTATTGTATTTGCTGCCATTTTGTTGATTTTTTTGTTTTTGTTTTGTTTTTGTAGTGTTTGAGGTTTTCATAGTCTTTACTTGCTAAACTATTGTTCTAATGTGTTTTATTCTTTCCTGTAGCATCATGGATGAGTTTATCTTTGTTTCAATGGATTCCTCGTAGTATCTAGTGTCAAGCACTGGCCCTTGTGCATGGCCCAACTCCAATAGGTTGGGAGTAGGAGAGCTATAAGGTGCCAAGCTGTGTATCATGAAATCCTTTAGCCTGTTTGGACCATGAAAAGTGTTTCTTCTTCAACTATAGCAAACAGTTTCACTCTGTATAGTATTCTGAGTTAGTTTTATGCCTTTAACATGAAGTCTTTCTCCTTCCTCCATCTCATGATTTATAGACTTGGTCTTTTCATAGGGTCTTGTACATTATGTTTATCCTTTCTTATTGATTCATCTCTGTCATTTTCTGCATATTTCAATTCATTTCTCTTGTCTTCAGCCCTAGTATTCTGTTCTCCCCCTGTTCTGTTCTATCATTGGTGAGTCTATGGAGCTTCCTATTTGATGTAGTGAACTTTGAATTTCTTGCATTTTACTTCCTTTTTGTTTGTTTGGTTGGTTGGTTTGGTTTGGCTTTTTCATTCCACTTTCATATCCTGTATTGGCTTGTTTCTTTTTTGTTTTTGTTCATGCACATAATGTATATATGTGCACATAGCTGTGTATATTCATTTGAAGGTCAACACCAATTATCTTCCTCTGTCATGCTCCACCTCATTTTTTATTTTTATATTTATTTTATATGTATGGGCATTTGGCCTACATGTATGTGTGTGTGTGTACTACATGTGTGCAGTGTCCACAGAAGTCAGAAGAGGGGATTAGATCCCCTGGAACTGGAGGTACAGGTAATTGTGAGCCTTGTATAGGTGCTGGAAATCAAACCCAGTCCTCTGCTTGTACCCTTCACAAGTACTCTTCACTGCTGAGCCACCGCTCAACCCCTCTGGATTAGTTTTTGAGATGAGGCTTTTACTGAACCTGGAGTTCACTGATTTCCCAGACTGGCCAGTAAGCTCTTGGGTCTGCCTGTCTCTGCCCTTCAAGTCCTGGGAATTCAGACACCCCAGCACGCCATGTGTGGGTGTTAGGTGGCGCTGGACACCCCAGCACGCGTGGGTGTTAGGTGGCACTGGGGATTACACTGACTGAACCATCTACTGGCTCCACACTCCTTTATTTCTTTTAACTATTTGTGTTCTCTTATAATTCACTCAGGAGTTTGTGTCTTCTTTGAAATCTTTGAATAATTTATAATCACTCTTTTGAATTAAATCTTTGGTATTTCATATAATTCACTGCCATTAAAGGGTATTACTGTATTTTTGGAGGATTCATTATGCCTTGGATTTTCATGTGTCTTGTGTTTTTCCATTGAGACTTGCACATCTGGAGTTAAATCTTTGGTTGATTTTTTTTTCTTTCTAAATCACCCATTTCTTCATGTGAAGTGTTTGCAACATAGGAGAGTGACTGGGTTGTAGTAAGGTTATGATGTTGTTTTCTGCTAGATTCCAAATCTAGCTTAGTTAGTTAGACCCCTCAGCCCACATATTCAGGGCACTAGTTTTAATTCCTAAAATAGAAATTCCCTGAAGATAGAGTATTTGCAAAAGCAATACTATCAAAGATAGACCAGCCCACTGTGAAAATAGTAGTAATGGTCAAATTCAAAACAATCACATCCAAACCTTAGGAAGTAGAGGAGCACTGATGGTACTGTGTGCACTGCAGTGTTTGGTAGTGTGTGTGAGTGGGAGGGCACAGCAGTGAGACTAGTGGTTAGTACTGGCTGGACAAAGCAAAGAGGAGAAGAGAGGAAAGTCATAGAGGGACCAGCGAGGTCAGGAAGTCATGGGAGAGAAGCAGTTTTGGCTAAAGTTAGGATGAAACAAGAGGTAAAGAAATCCAAAAGGCAGTTGAAAACATCCCTCTCCTACAGGAGGCTGCAATAAGGAAACTACATGCAAACCAAGCTGTTATGTTCTTCTAGAAAGTCTATCAAAATAGATGGGAAAGAAGGTCTTGAAGTGGGAAAAGAGGGCAACAGAAGATAATTATTTTTTTCTAAGAAGAATGAAAGAAGCCCTAGCCAAAGCCTGCATGCTAGTCCTTGAATGCCCAGCCTAACCTGGGTGAGCATGGAAGAACAGTGAGTCTTCTGTGCCTGAAGCTCCCTGTCCCCCTGAATGGCTAGCCATCATTGCCTTTCCCAACCCATTACCACCTCAGTCTTGGATCTGGGGTCTAAGCATAATCTCAGAGTCATCTATATTCGTGGGGATACTATAACCTCAAGTGTGACACAGATCTCTGTAGAAGAACTGACCTCCATCTCCTGAGAAACTGGGGGCAGGGGCAGTATTGCCTCTCTATAACCCACTCTTGTCTAACCCACAGCATAAGAAGTGACAGCAAGCCAACCCCAGAATCTAAGTTCTCTTCCAGTCTTCTCCAGATTCCTACTTTTTATCACCTCACAGCATGGATGGGGACCCCAATATGAGCAGGAGGCTTGGGACATAGGAACATGGCAGTAGTCACTAAGGAATACCAAGTATATTGGGGACTTGTGTCTGTTCCTCTACAGACCCTGGCTCTCAGCAGATCCCACCTTGCTAAACAGGGAGTCTATCTGATTCAGGTCCTTCCTCGTGGTTTT